GTCTGGCAGGGAGGGAGCCGCAGCCTGGTCCTTGCTGGGTGGGAGATGCTTTGGCTTCTGTGTGTTGTGACTGTGCTGAACTGGTCTCAGCAGGGGCCTACTGGCTCTGTGCTGGGCCTAAGCAAACCAAGCGCTTCTGCCTGAGACTATGGTTCTCTAGGTTTGTGGGGGCTCCCTTGTGGGTGCAGTTTGGTGCTAACTTCTCCTTTCTCCCTTCCCCAGCTATTTCTGCTGTTCCAGCCTCTACCGTCCCATACCAGGCAGGCCCCAGAGGTGCTGGGACAGTGGTTGGATCCACTGCCCCAGCACACCCTGAGCACTGCGTCCTGGGCCAGTGATGGCTGGGCCCCTGAACATGGCAGGCAGCACCCCTGCCTGGGATGAGGACCTGCTAATCCTGGCCCTGGGAGCAGCCATCCTACAAGGAGAAGATCCCCTCACCTGTCTGAGTGCTGCAGTCACTGAGCATCATCCTGAGAGATCTGTGTGTAGTGCCACTGACTCCTGTCCCTGCAGTGCTCACCCTGCTCCCTCCAGTGTGCTCAGCCTTAGCCCCCTGAGTGAAACCCCTGCTCCTAGCCCATGCTGCCCAGCTAGTTACCCTATCCCTGGTAATTTCAGACACCAGCTTCCCCTCTGCATGAGAAGGCAGGAGCCCATTGCATCCTCTGTTGTATGGTCAGTCCCCTGCCGTGAGGGTGGTCCTTGCTGAGAAAGATTATGGTTGTGGGTATGATAAGGGAAGTGCTGGGGTGCAGGGCAGGGGGTTCCACTGCTTGGCAGCCCGCTGGAGAGGGTTAAAGTGGTGCTGTGTCTCCTCCCACCTCAGCAGTGAGGGTGCTGCGGTGATGTCTAGGTACCACCACTCCCCCCATCCTGTGTCCAGGTTCTGAGAAGAACTGAGTAGGCGCTGTGTTTTAGGTTTCCCCTTATTTACCAGGTAATTTATATGTATTTATTTGTGTTTGTTAAATTTGTGTTGCGGAAATAAATTTTTTTCTAGTAAGCGATGCTGGAGGCAGTCACTTGCTGCTTTGAGACTGAGGAACAGTCTTGGTTTTATTCTGTCTTTTTCCCTTCCCCCTAACCCTGCTCTTGCACCATGAGAACAAGGCTGGGATCCTCAGCTGTTGAGCTGCAGGCTGGCAGCACACTGATGCATGGAAAGTTTTATCCTTGATGCCACCTGTGTACTTGTCCTGTGGGGACAGGGTCACAGGCTCACAGGCAGGCAACAGCATGTGCTAGAGGGAGAACTGGGTACCTGCCCAGACTCCCTGGGGGTAGGTGGCTGTGCCGGAGCCATCCCCGTGGCTGTGCAGCAGCTGGAGAAGCTTAGTGGCCTCTTTGCCAGACAGCTCCGTAAGACTGGCGTGGGGAATAAGGTAAAAAGCAGTGAGCAACCTCTTCCAAGGCCTGTGAGTGAGCAGTCTTGGGAGGAGGGCAGCAAAGGATGCCATCTCCAAGGATCACAACCGTTCAATTTGGATCAGTGCTTCCCTTGCTGCTGCCAAGGCAGGAGGTGAGCTCAGCTGTCCTGCTGGAATTTCAAGAGAACATTTGCTGGCAAGAAAGCACCTCCATTATCCCACCACCGTGGCACAGAGCAATGCTGTGCAGATGTACACAGGCCCCTAGTCATGCTGCTAGCCTGAGCTGTCGCTGCTGGGGAGGTGCTTGCTAAAAAGCAAAACCAGTGCTAGATGGCTCAAGGGCTTTGTTTATTGCTACAGGAATGGGAACAGCTGAGTTCAAGTAAGAAGTGACAAACTTCATTGAGTCATCAGGGGCTCCAGCCCCAGGGGAGGAAGGTTTGTGCACAGCCCAGATGTGCCTGGGGGAGTGAGCTGGGCTGGAAGGAGGTGGTTACCCCAGCGGCAGGCCCAGCCTGCGCTCAGTGGGGAGAGAACCACTGGTCCTGACACTAATGCCCAGTTAACGTGTGGGACAGCACGGAGAAGATGTGCCCAGGAGGGAATGTATGAAAGGAAACACAGCCCACTGTGATGGTGCCTTAGGAACCAATCCTTGAGCCCTCAGTGCTACGCCTGGGGCATTGGCTAGGACCACCACAAGACTGTCCTGGGAGGCAAAGTCATGGCAAAGAGGGGGACACCTCTTAAGGAACACTCCACAAAGGCTGGGCAGAGCAGCTCAGTGAAACTTGTGGTTCACCTGGTTGCTGCAGTAACTTTGCTGGTGACTGATGTTCTCCAGCCCGTGGGTTTGTAAGGGACCACAGAATATCCACCCCCCGGGTGATGAGCTGCAGCATCTCACCAACTTGCTCTGCAAACCGGTGCCGGAGTCACAGGGTGGCTCTGTGCTTCATGCCACAGCCCTGGGCTGGTCGCCTTGGTGATAGTGTCCTGCTGATCTGAGGGACCTGCCAGGGCTGCGCCTTGAGCCTGCTGGCAGCAGAGGACTTTGCTCTACACCATGTAGCAAGGCGAAGGCTGAAGGCCAAGGAAGGTAAAGATTAGGACTGGGGTGAGGCAGAGAGGAAAGCTCCAATGTCCATAACTGCCTCGGCCCCAGGCTCTGGTGCTGATGTGGAGATGAGAGTGCAGAGTTGAGAAGGTCTTTTAAGAAAGAGTCCAAGCCCTCGGAGGCCAGGCTGTCAGCCAGTCCTGGTTTTGCTGGTGCAGCTGAGCAGTGGGTACCACCTGTGTCATGGCCCATTTCCCTGGCCCGGTGGCACCACCACCTTGTCCAGCCAGAGCAGGCTGAGCTGGGCCGAGCGCAGCTGCCGGCGGTGGATGCGGCGCAGCCGCAGGAGGTAGAGGACTATGGCCAGCGCTACCACCAGGATGCAGGCGAAGAAGAGATAGTGGTTGTAGACAAAAGAGAGGCGCAACCAGGAGGCATGTGCTTGCCGGATGCTCTCCTGCTGGAGATCCCTGCGGAGAAGAGAGTTAGGACGGGCAGTGAGATGCCATTGGGCATGACCTGGGTCACGCACCGCTGCTCCCCTTGCCAGGGGTGGCAGAGCCCTCACCCAGTGCGGTAACTCCTGCTCCTCCCCAGCCACCCTTCCCTGAGTGACACCATCAGGGAGCCGAGGACAATACCTGAGTGGCAGAAACCGTGTCTTGTAGAGGATGGCTCCCATCCCGGTCGTACACCAGCTGGGCTGTGCGCAGGCTGGGGTAGTCCAGGGGGAAGTGGAAGCCCTGGTGAAGGACTTGGTACATCCAGGCCGATTTGAAGCACTGATACCTGCAGGCACAGCACATGGGAGCATCAGCCTGATGCTACCCCCTGTGCCACAGTCCCTCACCCCAGCAAAAAAACCCCCAGGAGGTCCAGCCGTGGCCCCCTTCAGCAAAGCCACTTACTTCAGCCGGTGCTGGTCAGCATGTGCGGAGTAGAGGCCACCACGGAAGCGCTGGGTCAGCACCTCCCATCGCTGGCTGCAGTACTCCTGGGGGAAGGAGAAGGCAGGGCTCAGAGCAGAGAAATGGCCCAGGCTCCCTCACAGCCCCAGAAACGGCAGCTCCCTGGCCACAAGGCTGGGGCAGCACCCACCTGGGCGGCAGAGGTGAAGGCGTGGGCACTGTACTGGCCCCCCAGGCGCAGCACATCCTCGGTGCAGTAGAAGAATTCAGAGAAGCCATAAAATTCACTGTTGCCGAAGTCGATGGGTGCTTTGTAGGCCCCCACCAGGGAGGCTTGGCTGCTGTTGGGCCCAGCCAGGAGGGGCTGCAG